CTACCTCGTGTGTCTTCGTCGAGTCTCTAAATATATATATATATATATATATATATAGGGGCTTTATGGTTTACCAAAACCTTGGTATTTCCCCTTCACTAAGAGCTACTGGCTGGGTTTTCCAAAACACGATACTGAGTGCAGTGCATTATCAAACTGCTGGAAAACAATAAAGCAGAGGAACTGTATGTTGGCAACAGAGGATCAAGCATGTGCAATGGATACCAGAGTTTGTAAGTAGATAAAAAATTAAGAACGTTTTTGTTGAGGGTCTCTTATGTCTTGGTAACTTATTTTTGGAAGTTCAGTGACAATAAGTATGCTGTTATTATAATATGTGTACTATTACTGATTGAGACCTATATCTGTTTGCACTTTGCTCTAGAGGGGTGTATGTGGTTAGCTTACTAGACTATGCATCCCATGGTTCATGTCATTATAAGAGTAATGGTCAAATCTCATTATTCAACTATAGCAACCAAAGAATTGGTTGTGAATGCTGTTGACTTGTTGTCTTCCCTCTAGTCTATTAGCTTAAAATTGGAGATGACCAGCACAGATATCATTGTAGAGCTTTATACAAATGTCCAAAACAAACAAGCAAACAGATACTGTAGAAGACCATATAATAGGGTACATCAGGTTAATATCACACAAAAAGTGTAAAATATACTGTGAAAACTTACATAATGTTAGTATTTGAGTAATAACATTGTATTTTAAATATCATAAGTAAGTCACTTTGTAAATATTACAAATGTTACTTCCACAGTCAAGGTATTGAAAATAACTTTTAATGAAACAGTAGTTGCAAGTATAATTTCATTAATACCTTTATTTGTGACATAAATTCTATGGCTAACTTACAAAAACATTGGTAGTAAAAACCCATTAAAAATGCTACTGAACTATAAATGAGTAATTACTATGTAAAACCTGCAAATATTCATTACTTTTGTTTTGTTTTGTTTTAAATCAAAGATGTTATTGGAAGAATGAATGGTTAATTTGTTACTTTATCTTATGTTTTTTCTTTATCTAGTATTATAAACATAGTAGCTGAACAACTGTATGGTTTTGCATAAAAATAATGAATTTCATCCTTTAAACCATTAATATCATTGCTTGCAAGCAGTCCAAGATTCTAGTCGGAGTATGCCACTGAACATGCTTCACATTTTCAGTTGTATGGAGAATTACTGAGGTTCAGAACATTATATTAAAATGATTTTGGAGCCTCACCAGGTCATTACAGTCCATAATGAGGTTCAATACATTATATTAAAATCATTTTGAAGCCTCATCATGTCATTACAGTTCATGTTGAGGTTGAGTACATTATATTAAAATGATTTTGGAGCCTCATCATGTCATTACAGTTCATGTTGAGGTTGAGTACATTATATTAAAATCATTTTGGAGCCTCATCATGTCATTACAGTTCATGTTGAGGTTGAGTACATTATATTAAAATCATTTTGGAGCTTCATCATGTCATTAAAGTTCATGTTGAGGTTGAGAACATTATATTAAAGTCATTTTGGAGCCTTCATCATGTCATTACAGTTCATGTTGAGGTTGAGAACATTATATTAAAATCACTTTGGCGCCTCATCATGTCATTACAGTTCATGTTGAGGTTGAGAACATTATATTAAAATGATTTTGGAGCCTCATCATGTAATTACAGTTCATGTTGAGGTTGAGTACATTATATTAAAATGATTTTGGAGCTTCATCATGTCATTACAGTTCATGTTGAGGTTGAGAACATTATATTAAAATATTTTGGAGCTTAATCATGTCATTACAGTCCATGTTGAGGTTGAGAACATTATATTAAAATGATTTTAGAGCCTTATCATGTAATTACAGTCCATATTGAGGTTGAGAACATTATATTAAAATCATTTTGGAGCCTCATCATGTCATGTCATTACAGTTCATGTTGAGGTTGAGAACATTATATTAAAATCATTTTGGAGCCTCATCATGTCATGTCATTACAGTTGAGGTTGAGAACATTGTATTAAAATGATTTTGGAGCCTCATCATGTCTTGCTCCATCTGACTGTTATGCATCTTTAAAATAACTCTTCAACATAGTTTCCATTTGAAAAGGCTCTGTTATAAGGCTGTCATGTCCAAAGAACATACTCTCCCTCCCACTGCTTTCCATAATCTGTCTAGAGTAGAAGGATGATGATTTTTCAGCAATCATTTCAACAGCTTAATCGCAGAAAACCATAGCATTGTCTGGCAACTTTACTGATATGTCTTTATATGGAATAACATGAATACCTGTTTCATTTTCTTTTCCATCTGTGTAAGGTATGCAACTTTTGTACACCTGATATCTTGATTATCTTACATACTGTTGTTTGGGCCATGTGGGCAACTTTCATCACTGACCTTTGTTTTAGTGGATTCTCACCTGTTACAAGATACTGCACTTTACTTACCACAACTGGGTACGACTGTAGCAGGTCTCTTTCTGGGTGGTTTTGGTACCACAAGTTGGTCCATATCCTTTATTTTCCATTGCCATTAAGTACAAGAGATATCCCTATCTTGAAAATTTTAAAATACCAATCTGTACCTTTATTTATGATCTGAGTGTATGAATATCTGGTGTGGTTACATATCCTTCCCAAAAGGGATAAATTTAATGTCAAAATGTAGTTCTGATATGATTTGTTCCACTGTAACTTTTTATTGGCTGTGGTTGTCACTTGACTTGCTGATTTGCATATTCAAAATAATTTTAATATAATGTAGTCAACTCTCTGTATAACTGTCACAGTCAATTTCAATGTTTAGTTAAGAGTAGTGTTGTAGTCAGTGGGTGTTTTTACTGGTTATTCTCATTCTGATCAACTATTTTTTAAATTAATGAGGGCTATACTTGATCTTAGCCAATGTGTCACCTAGGATGCTGTTCAGGTTGGAAATACTAAGTTTCTTGTAAACTAGTATGAAAAAAAAACTAGTATTATAGCAAAAAATATTTTAACTATTTCCTGTTTATATGGTATCATTTCTAATTTGATATTTTATGTTAAAACAGTAGTGAATATGTACTTGTTTGTAATTTTTAAATTTTAAATATTAGACTAACAGAAACATGATAACCAAACTCAAAATTATTATGTTAATGTAAATTATAATTTCAATGCCACTAGACTTGACAGCCCTCACCCCCATATAATTAACTATCTTACCATAGACAGGTCCAAGTGTGCATGTCACGACTTTTTAAGTGTCATTCAGAATTTAGTTAAACTACTTTATCTTTGTATACAAATAAAATTGGCTTGAAATAGTAAACAAATCAAATTTTAATATAAATTTGATGTTCTTACATTTATAAAGAAATATTTTGAAATCTTCAATCTCCCCTAGTATGAAAATTGTGACATTTGTTCTCTGGATCTTCCCTCTTATCTAATTTATTCACCATCCTTCTGAGAAGTACAGAATTTAATGTAAATTACTCATTATGATATAGATATTACTCAAGCAAATCAGAATTTCTATCGCCTTCAATCTTATTTGTTTACAGATCCATAAACTAAAATATCAGACCCATTTGCCACACCCACCCATCATATCCTCACTTTCACAAATTGTCAATAAATATCTCTGATGTTTTAAATAAAAAGCCAAGTTTTAATAAGATAATCTATTATATTACATTGTTTTGAGTACAGAGGATTGTCTGTTTTGCCACCAGTTCAACACTTTTCGTGATATTCACATGTATTTTTGTTAACAACCATAATAAGAATAAAATGTTCATTGTGGTAAATGAAATAATAATGTGATCTAAGTAAGAGTTTTTTCTTCCTGCTTTGTAAAAAAATCCTTATGTTATAGAAGAAAATGAATATTATTTTCGAAATCTACATAGCTGAATTATGGAAAATTCGTTATTAAAACAAAAACAACTTTTATAAAGTTTAAATGTGTAGGTCTGTGTTAAGAAAGCAAGAATATCTTGTTGCAGATATCAGTCATAAGGAGCAACCCATTTTAAACTTCAAGAATAACTGTGTCCTCATGTGTATACCTAAAGCATTTAAACTCTGGAATGGAAAACAATTAACAAGTTAAATTTTTTTACTTAATATTTTTCTTGCATGAAACTCCTGCAACTGTTATTTCTGGTTATTTAACTCACACACTGAGTGAGTTACCAGGTATAGTTAAAGAACATAGTACATTTTAATGTTTTCTTATTCACAAATAACGTTAGATAAATGAATCATTACCACGTGCAAGACATAAACAAATGGACACTGTAAAAGATATATGCTGGTAAAAAATCAATTAGGTTTGATATATGAAACACTGATAGATAAACACAAATGGATTCGGGGATTTACTTTTAAAGGAATGTAGTAGAAATTCAGAAACAATTTTTTAGAAAGCTTTTCGTGTATATAATCTAAATGAGACTACAATAAATTAGAAAAGAAAACTATGTTGGTCAAATACAAAGAAACATAAGTAAAGTATGGATAAAAAATGTACTTAGAGATAAACATTGAACTAATTGTGACCTTTTATGTTTAGGTGATAACAGAGTGTTTGAGTCTGACCCTATTCATCTTCCTCTCGGTGTGTGTATTGATAACCTTTTGAAAGTAAGTATTGATGCTTCATCAGCCTTGATTAATAAGAGATTTTGTGTTACTATAAAAGGCCTACCAGATGGTATTATTTGATTTTGATTTTTCTGTTGATAATAATTGTGTAAATGAAAACTCATAAATTTATTAATTAGTTTTAAAAAAAATTCTGTACTAAAAAATGAGATAAGTAATCAATTTATAAGCCAGATTTTTTTATATTTCGTATTATTTTTGACAAGTAAAAATGCTGTGTTGAGGACAAAACATTAATGAATATCAGATCCTGTGTGTAACCATGAAAAGCATGTTTTAATTCCTTCCATTCTTTACATTTTATGAAATTTCCTGGTGTATTAGATATTTTCCTTCAGTTTGTATATCCTTTACATTTTTATTAATGTCTTCAGTTGATGTCATACACTATAAAAGATTATTAACAAAAAGGGGTGGTAGGTTTCTTTCAAAGAGAGTGGGAAATGAAATATTAATGAAACACATTAATATCTTAAAAAACTTATAATTACATTCTTTTCTCAATTTTGAGATGCCATCATCCTCATTTGTATTTCTACATTTTTGATAAAATGTATACATGTATCAAATATATACAATACTGACAAAAATTAAAGAATAATAAGGTTTTGATATGTTTTTTAAAATTTGAAGAAAAGAAAAACAGGTGTTCGATACTGACAAAACTCGTTTATTATAAATATTAAAGGTAAACAATACTAAGCAAGTCAAAAAATTTAGTTACAAATAAAAAAGCAAAATTAACAAAAAATGTCAGTATTTGGCTGCACAAATATCAAAGAAAAAAATAACTTATTTAGATAAACAAATTTAAAAAATGTCTAGTATCTGGTAGGTCCTCCTTTTATTGCTTGTGACTTCTCCGCATATTTTGGATGACTTGCTGTGGCAGCACAGTCTGCTTTTGGACACTCATAGGAGCAGGTCATCTGTCTCTAACTGTTCTTCCTACCAAGTTCCACACATGCTTATTTAAATGTACAGCGAGTTCAAAATGTCTGGAACCATAGGTGATTTGTGACTTTTCTTAATTTCAGATACATGACTGATTATGGTGCTTTCACAGCATGAGAAAGTTGAGTTAATCCTGCTGTTAATCCAAACTTTTTTGAATTACAAAGGCAGCATGTGAAACATTGTCTGTAACATTCATTGAAGTGCCTGTCATTCCATACTTTCCAGAAACCTTGTAGGTCCAGTGACTTAGCATCCCAGTCAAGTACCTCTCTTACTTCATCCTAAAGTAATTGCTGTGTGATCTTGGTGGTGTGAGGACTGGTGTTATCCTGCTGATACACAAGTTCATCTCTTACAGCACCAGTAAAACAGTAAAATGAGGGAAAATGAGTGGTAGGATCTAATCTATGTAACATCTTGCTGTAAGGAATCATTCATCGACCATATGGAGATCTGTATGCAGAAGCATACAGATGCCACACCAGACCATGATTGATCCACCCCCAAAAGTGTCATATTGGACAATGTTACAGGCCAAATATCACCAGAAGGTACACAAAACCTACTTTCATCTGTGAACAGTACAGAGATCCATTGCTGAAGGGTCCAGGTGATGTATTCTTTGGCAAACATTAGCCAGGCTGTTTGGTACTTTGGAGTTAGTACAGGGGCTCTAACTGGTATCCTGAACCTGAACTCAGCTTCACTAAGCCTGTTCTTAATAGTTGAGCTTGTTGAAGCTCATTCCTGAGACTTCTAGCACTGCTGGTTTAATTTCTAAGGGCTAAGTTTTGTAGGTATTGGTTATCTGCTGCACCTCTATCCCTTCTGTGGCCCTGGCTTGGTCTGGTATCTGCACTACTATCTATTGACCACAGATTGTGACACCCCAATGACCTATCAACCTCAGTCTAGGTGCAGCCATCCTGTGACACCTCTGAAAATTTTAGTTTCAGTTACTTGGTTTCTAACAGTTTGCTCACTTTTTGCAAAAGTCAGTATCAGCCAAAATGTCCATAAATCTCTCATTATTTCAACAGTAAATTTCTTTCTTAATCAATCAGAACTAACTGTGCTTTGCAGAATGTGGGTTATTTCTCTTAAAGGTTTATTACATAAGGAATCATTGGTGAATAAATGGGTAGGGTTAGTGTAATCCTCTACAATAGGCATGCTAAATTTGAAAACCTAAAAATATGCAATTTTAAATAAATCTCATTATCCTTTAATTTTTGTGAGTAGTGTGTTTTTTGTGTCATGAAATTTTAAAGAAATATTAATTTCCATATATTCACATGTTATTAGGCTTATGCAACTAAACTTTAGTGTGTAAAGAATCTTTATGTACATATTTACTTTTGTGATAGTTTTTTTATGTTTGAGCATAGATATGGAATGTTATGCATGCTTGTTTTTTAAAAAGTATATATATATATATACATATTTTTTCTAAAACAGTGTTTTAAGAGTGGAAACAGGCTGGCTGTTAACAGACTCAGTTTGAATCTGTATGAAGGACAAATAACAGCCTTTCTTGGACATAATGGAGCTGGCAAAACAACTACCATGTAAGTTACAAAAAATAATCTTGTGAAACAGTTATTTTCCTTCATTAATACTTATTTCTCATCTACCTGGGTAAACATGTGATATGCTTTAACAGCTGGAAAGTATCATGAATAAAACTTATTGAATGTATGATTTTTTTCAAGTGCTGACTATTTACAGCTCTAAAAATGTTGTATTTATAATTCAGATATCAAATTCTGTGTTATTTCAGCCTACCTAGAATATAAAAACTTGGTGATAAGCAAGTTATTCAGGTTACAAGTGTGAGATTTAACATTCCATGATTGTATTTACATTTTAAGTCAGCTGTAATATAAAGTTATCACATGGTCATGAGCAACTAAAGTTACTATAGCCCTTATAATTCTGTCTAAGTTAAAGAAATTTTAACTTGCCAAAAATAGAAGTAAAATGTAGTATATTTAAAAAGGAATAAAGCTAATCTTTCTTTTTTTCTGCATAATTAAATAATGAACAAAAGTGATCTTTCTGCAGTTCTATTCTGACTGGTCTGTTTCCACCAACGTCTGGCTATGCTACTATATATGGACATGACATCAGGACAGAGATGGACTTGATTAGACAGAGTATGGGAATGTGCCCACAACACAATGTTCTCTTTGATGAGTAGGTTGTCTGAAGAACTATATTTTTAAATAGATAATTTATTCATGTGAAAATGTTAATATTTATTGATAATCATATTTAATATAATAACATTCTTTTTGATGAGTGCTTCATACACAATAGGATTTATTTAAACATAAATATCGCATTTGAGATGGATTACCAGTTAAAAATGGCTCTGTTAAGAATGAAGAAAATACCAAGTAACTGGTTAAAATCTTATGAAATATATACTTGAATATATACACCTGGAAAAAAGTTAAGCACCCCCAAATATTTTTCAGGATTGCTTATTGAAAATAAGGTTTAATTTTCATGATGTTGAGTAACGTTCATAATTTCAAACATAATTAAAAGGATGTGAGCGTTCAGGTGTGACATTTAAATCAGGCGCGTTTTTTTCCCCACGTGCAACTTGCTCCAATATGCACTATTTCTCGTG